GTGATTTTTCTTTTCCAGGAAAGACCTCCAAGCTAAGGAGAAAGTGTGAATACTAGCTTTGTTTGGCTATGGTACTTTTCAGTGAAAATCACAGAATTTCATCTTAGTATTTGCACCCTTTGCTGCCTCAGCCCCAGAGCAGCCCCTGCCTAAATTTCAGGCATTCCCCAGGACAGCCGAGCCCCTGGGCATCCAGTGTGGGAATCTGAGACACAGCCTGTGGGCTGCTTAGAAGACAGGGAAAAGGTATCCTGGGGCTTTGTAGCTTCAGAACTCTTTGCAGGGCTGCAGGGGTTGAAATTGAAAATCCAGTCTTTTACAGGACAATATGCACTTCAAGCAGAAAGGGGATTTTAGAGATCATCAAATCTAATGTCTGTTTCGTAGATGTGGAAATAGAAACCCAGAGGGACTAAGTTGTTCGAGGTCATATGTTGGATGACCCCCAGAGCAGGACTTGAAACCTAGGTCTCCTGACTCCCAACCTAGTGTTTTTCTCGTGGAGGCATTCATATAGCATGTTTATATTTTGGTTTTTTAAATTATTATTTTTTATTGAAGTATAGTTGCTGTACAGTATTATATAAGTTATAGGTGTGCACTATAGTGATTAACAGTTTTTAAAGGTTATACTCCATTTATAGTTATTTTAAAATATTGGCCTCTATTCCCATGGTGTACCATATATCCTTGTAGCTTATTTTATATCTAATAGTTTGTACCTCTTAGTCCCCTACCCCTGTATTGCCCTCCGCCTTTCCTCTCCCCATTGGTAACCACTAGTTTGTTCTTTGTATCTGTGAGTCTGCTTTTTTGTTATATTCACTAGTTTGTTGTATTTTTTAGATTCCATATGTAAGTGATACCATGTAGTATTTGCCTCATATACTGATGTTTAGATTGGCCCCTCTGTTTGTTCATGGAATAATTCATTTGTCTGTAAACTTTTTTGGGGGACTATCCCCTGTATCCTATTGCTGTTCCAGACATCAGCTGTGACATCTTTGTGAGGTCACTTGTCATTAGCTGTATTTAGTGGTGTTTCTGGTTTTATAGGTAAATTGAAGCACTAGAACCATAGTCTTTCCCAATTAGAAGTTTTTACAATGGAAAAATGTAATTTAAAAAAGGTTTACATTTTAGTTCTAGTTCTGTTAGAAACTGCCCGATTTCAGATGCATTTCCAGGGGGCTTTCTTTCCCTGTTTACTGAGAAACATAAACTGTGCTGGGGGCATGATGGTCCTTGAGCTGTAGCTGTCAGGGTCTTTGCAGTCTACCCTCTGAATGACATGCTGTCTCTTGGGCTGTATGGAATGATCGAGGTGAGGTCGCCAGTGGGCGACCTGCTGGTCTGAAGCTGTTCCCTCCCACCTGCCTACTTTCAAGGGCTGTCCTAGATCACAAGAGCATGTCAGCCAGCTGCTGGTCTAATCTGCTTCTATTCTGAGTTTAGGGAAACAAACAGAAGGCAGAAGGCATAGGACCTGCAGTGGAAGGCAATATTTTGGGTGGTGTCATAGTTTGGGGGTTGGGTTTACCATGAGTTAAAAGGCGACATGCAGGGCTAGCTGATCACTCACCATCATGCAGTCTTGGCCTAAAGGACTTTTTCTTGCCCAGGGCTGGATATGAAGGCATCTGACCGTGGAGCATCTGGGACTTGGGTTTGCTGGGGTTGGCTCCTGGGATGTGGAGGTGTATGAGAAACTAGCTGAAAGCCTAATGAATGGATTTCAGGAATTTCCAGGAATACATATTCAATATGCCACTTTTGGTTGAAAAATGAATAAATATAGCTTGTGGGAATGAATGAAGCCGTTAGCAGAGCGTTTCTCCATTGGCAGAGAATTTGTAGTGTATGTGTGCTTGGAGCCTTTGGGAAATAACAGAAACAAGGAATGCTTTGTTAAGCACCCAGAACATGCTGGGATACTTTCTGTGTATCACACTAGCCTCTGCATCACCACTCTGGATGCAGCACATAGATTGTTTCATTTCCAGGTTGTTGTTGTTTTTAACTTGACATAGTCCTTTGACTTGATTTTAGACCTCAGTTTCATGGCCAAAGCATACAACCTGGAGGAGTAGTTACCTTTCTTTCCCTAAAACAAGGACAACAACAGTATACTGGCTGAATCTTGTATTTATAAAGTGACATTTCCACATCTGCCCTGTACATTTCTTTCTTAGTCAAGCGGTTGTAAAGAAGGGAAAGATAAAAATGAAAGAAATGGGAGTAATTTAAGGAAAGAATAACTTCCTTTTTATTAGGTTGAACATGAAACCAGGTATCATATTTGTATAAATACTATGGAAAATATTTAACCTATTCATAGAGGTTAAGTAAGTAACTGATAAGCTTTGTAGGGAAAGTCTGTTTAAATGCTCTCGTTAAACTGTACCAGGCAATTTTTCAAATTCTCAAATACATAACCATTAGGAAGCTGAGGGACAGAAAGAATTTCTGGTGGACAAATACACTTGTTCATTGTAGAAATTGTTGCTACTTTATATATCAGAGGGTGCAAAGCAAGTCAAAAAGTCAAAATAAGGTTTAGATGAAAGCCTTAATGATACAATTTAGTCTTCAGTAAAGGCAAAGGTAAATTCCTTCAGCTATTGGCTAGAGGGAATCGAAGGACAGGATATTTTAGGTTGGTCTCTGTCTATAAATAATACATGAAATGATTAGATAGCAAAGGTTGGGGGGCCTGGGGGATGCAAACAGAACTTTTGGGAGACTGGCCAAACTGTGTATTAGGATAAAATTTAGCAGTGTTACATTTGTAGATTTCATCTTTGAGTGGAATAATCTTATAGTTTATCCCCCAGCCAGGAAACACTGAGAGTGAAAGTGGACAGTTTTAATAACTACGGCAGGACAGTGTGTGCAACCCAGGACCAGCATGGGACACCCAGCACGTGTGGTCACCTTTCCTTTGAACCTTCCTTTATTGTGAATGATTTAAACACAGAGAATTAAATAGGCCACTATCTTTTTTTTTGGAGGGGCTGGGAGATCTTATGTACAATTTAAAGGGCTTGTGCTCTTTCTGTTGTATCGAAGAAAAAATGTTTGTAAAACCATCAGACAATAAAATGTATAACTTAATGTTATATTATGTTATACATATTATATTATAAAATGTTAAAACCTTACTTGCATTTACCAAGAAGTGAAAGACTGAATACAACCTCATCCCCCACAGACAACCATTATTGCCTTTTTTATGTACCAGTGTGAAATTTTTCTGTTCTTATTAGGTAATCTATCGTCTATCTACATACCTACCTGTCTATCTACCTTCCTATCTATATTTTAACATAAAAGGGATCCTATTCTACAAGTTGTTTAATAACCTGATTTTTAGTCACTTTACTATTGTTAACTTGTTAATATTATTAATAGTGTGGCTATCTTTCAATAAATGTTATTCTTAGTAGCTTAGTAGTTTTTCATTAATTCAAAAAGTATTGGAATTTATTTAACCAGTCCCCTATTTATGGACATTTGTTTCCAATGTAATATAAACAATACTATGTTAAATGTTTGGGGCGTTTATACTTTTTTTTTATACTCATTTGATTATTTCCTTAGAATTTATTCCTAGAAGTGAAATTGCTGGATTAGAGAGCATACACACACACACGCACACACACACACACAATATGATATATACCCATAATATATATACATATATGTAAATATTATATATTTATATGTATTTTTCCAAGCATTAGTAATTAATTTTCCATTTAGTATGATTTTTATAAATTTACCCATCCACCCTAAGAGAATAAGAATTCCTGTTTAATCATATCAGGGCTAACAGTGGATATTAATAATTAAAATTTTTTTTGCCAATCTGAAAGATACAAAAGAGCATTTTGATTTAATACCCATTTCTGTGATTATTAGTGAAGTGAAACATCTTTGAAACTGTTTATTGGACATCAGTATTTCTTATGTCAATTGCTTGTATCAGTCCTTTAGGCATCTCCAGTTTTCACAGGCCTCAAAGAAAAGAATGCAAATCACAGCCTTCTAAGTCAGTTCTTCTCCCTGTGTCCTGCTTATTAGCATCATCACCTGCTCAGAGTTGGCTTTCACGTCTCTCAACTTCTCCATCCACTTGCACACCCAGTTATGGTTTATTTAACTTCTGAAATGTTTCTCAGGTAGTTTCCTCTTCTCCATTTCTTCAGTCACTGATCTAGTCCAGCATCCTCTCTTACTTTACTTTTGTCGGCTCTGAACTGGTAACCAAAGGCCACGGATGCTAATGCATCCGGAGGCAGAGCCCTGAGGCCAGGGGTCAGGTTTCCCCAGGTCCCATAAAAGTCATCATGATTGGACTGGCTGGGCTATTATTCATCTTTGTATCCCTGGTGCCTGACTCATAGTAAGTACTTGATAAGCAAAGGATGAAATTGCTTTTCTCATCTCTGGTTTTTCTCATCTTCTAGATTGTTATCAGCATTCTCTCTTCAAAACACAAACATGATTACCATCCTCTCCTCTTAAGAATTGTTGCTTGTGCCCCATTTACTGTAGCTGGATTTCTCAATTGCAGTACTGTTTACATTTGGCCCAGATAATTCTTTAATGTAGGGGGCTGTCCTGTGCCCTGTAGGGTGTTTAGCAATATCCTTGGCCTCTACCTACAGATGTCAGTGGTACTCCTCCCCTGCTTTGGTGTAACAGCCAAAAATGGCTCCAGACATTGACAAATGTTTCCTGGGAGACAGGGGTGCTGTGTCAGATCACCCCTGGTTGAGAACCACGGGCCTGTGGGAAGAAGCCAGCACTGAGCATGTGTGTCATTGTGCTCTACTACCTTTCCAGCCTTATGTACTGCCTCTCCTGAGCTTCCTGGCACATGCCAGTCCCTTAGCACTTGTGCAGCTTCTCACGTGCTGGATTGTCAGCTCTTCAGCAGTGAGCAAGCCAACTGCCACAACAGACAGGCAAATGCATGTTAGATCAGACGTTAACAGAAGTTTACTTTTGCTACAGCACTGTAGGGTTGAACACGTTGGGGAAGCAGCCTTCCATCTGTCAGTCCTTCAGAATCTAGAGGGGCTGAGGCTCTGCCATCCTTGATACACAGCTTCCAAGATGGCCCTGGGGGTCATCTCCATCCTACCTGACAAAAGAAGAAAAGAACACTGGAGAGTCCATGAAGGAGATGCTTATGGCCAGGACTGAAAATGGAACACATCCCCTTCACTCTCATTCAGTTGGCTTGAACTCAGTCACATGGCCACCCTTAAGTGCAAGGGAGGCTGGGACATGTAGTCTAGCAGATTGTGGATTTTCAGATCAGCCAACACTTTCTGCCACAGTCAGCTTATCAGTTCAGCAAAACCTTGAAGGCCCAACTCAAGTCATAATTATGAATTCTGATCTCCCCATGATCTGTTTTATGTACTTTGCTTACACTAGTGTACATTATAGTATGATTGGCATGGCATAAAAATCATTTTTTTCTCATTAACAACTAGGATAGTTCCTGGTACATGGTATATGTCTGTTGAAAAAAAGCAAATGGAGTATTGATTTATATAGTATTTCATGGGAATGCCTCCACCACTCACTGAGATTTTTTTGGTTTGTTTTCTAATCTCTGTTCCAGGAATCCGATATACTACTACAGTTGTCTCACTGATAAGAAGGTGAGACAAGCTTATTTTCAATTTCTAGCATGAAACAGCATCATTTGAGGCGCTAGGAAAAGTGGAATGAAAGTCTGTCTTTCCTGCATGCCTCTTCTCCTGGTCTCCCCACACCCTTTGTGCTGTCTACAGACCACTTTTCCACTGGCTCCCCCATACTGTCCCCAGCCCCCTTCCATCCAGTTCCTGGGGCTCAGAGACTTAATCCTCCTACCAGAGATTTGCATTTAAAAAGGAGTGATTATTAATCCTGAGGAATCATTGGTTGATGAGTTAGTTATATTGGGAAGGAACTTGGGATCCTGATTCTGAAAGGCTACCATGTTTTTTTTTAATCTACATTTGTAATTTGACATTTTCCTAGGAAACATAAGCAATAGTTAAAGGGAGAAAAATGTCTACCATGTATAATTCTAGAAAGATTTTTTACAAATGGGAATTTTGTACCTTAGAAGTAAACAAGTCTTTTGAACACTGGGTATATAATTGCCAAGGTAAACAGGAGTCAAGCCCTATGTGCCTTTGATGCCTGCCGTTCTTATTAACTAAAATGAGGTAGGAATGAAAGCATTTCTGCAATGAATGTTCAGGGGATTTGAGCACCCATTTAAGGCTGTAACCAGGCCAGAATTTCCTTATTGAGGCCAAGCAGAATCTGGTCCAAAAACATGAGCACAACAGGAATGTTTCTGGTCATTTTTCTCAAATCCACCAGAGGGTTCCCACCAAATTTTCCGACAAACTTAGTCTGTATACTGCATCTGCAAGACAAGGGAGCATTTATGTAGAATGTACTCCCCCCAACCCCAAGTTACTTTGACAGTTCCAACCCTCACTTTCTTCTCTGCTCGGATTGACATCTGAGAAGGGAGACCACAATTGCATACCATTTTATAGATCCGCATGATTAAAACCAGTTCTCCCTATAGGTCACATTGTGTATGAGACGCACGGTTTTTGTCAAGAGACCAGCTACCAGCAGAAAGGATTTTGATGCTATTGCTAGTAAGAAATTAGTAACTAGATCCTAGGTCTGTTTTAAGCCAACTTTATAATTATACTGCTTCAGCGGTAAACCAGACCTTTGAGCCAAGGGTAATTTAGAAATTCTAGATCTGTATTCTTTTTCCCTCTTTCTTTAATGTTCATCTTTGCTGTCTCTCCATCTTCTGCCTTCAAACATATAATTTTCCTCCATTCCTTCCTCACCCCTGGCTCCTTGTTTCTGTGACCCTCTGTCACGAAAGGACAGATGCATTCTGTTCCCTCTTATCCTGGGAGATCACGGGCAACAGTCAAGGCTGTGTATGAACACATCTAATTCTGAAACGTTTGCCACTTTTTGAGGGTGTCAACAGCTCAGGCTCCTAGTTTGCCTCTGGGATTGGAGGTTAAACTAGGGCCTTATCCTGTGTGTCCATGAAGTAACCTGTCTTCAAAGACTAGGACTACGCTGGAGATGACTTTCTCCATCTCTTGAGCTCTTCCTGGTTCTGTAAACTTTTTGTACTCAGAGCTCTTTTGATATAGAAAGATTTATTAAATATTAAAAATGAAAACCAGGGCTTCCCTGGGGAAAATTTTGTATCTCACTTGTGTTTTCCATCATGTTCTTTCTCCCAATTTTCTCCCTAAACCCTCCTCTCTCTCTCTCTCTTTTTTTTGTGATTGTTTTTCTTACTTTTTTAAGCTTTATTTTGGGATAGGTTAAAAAAAAATAACACCTCTCTTAAGTATACCCTGAAAGCCTAAGTTTTCATTTCAGCTGAAAATCATCCAAACCATATGCATTTCAGTTGAACACTCCTCCAGCTGGCCTCATTCTGCCAAAGACACTTTTTTATACCTGACCAAATTTCTTTAGAGTATGGCTAGAATTACTATCTTTAAGAGATCACTGTCACCAAATTCCAGATCGTTCTTTTGCACGGCCAGAGAGGTTCCTTTGTAACTAAACTTGATAGCATCTTTTCCTCCAGAATTGCCTTCTTCCTTCTTTGTTTCTTCCTTTACTCTTTCTCAGTCCACCTTTGCACTCCTTCCAGGTAGCCTGATCAGCACTTAGTCTGTCTTTCCATCTCTGTGTGTCTCTCTGTCTCGCTTGTCCTAATCCTCAGCCGCCCATGGTACAGAGGGGCAGCCAAAGTTTCCTTTGGAGACAGCTGTTTCCCATTTCAGGAGGCTCAGCTTTGTGGCTCTGTTGATTGTCTTTTCACCTCTAGGTTCGGTCTGACTCGTAGCTAGAACATAACTAACTATTTTCACTAAGACCTCCAGGGCCAGCGCCTGAGCTGTCAGCTGCAGGCCCTCTGCTGGAGCGTCCTGCCATGCAGATGCCACTGAAGTCCCCATAAGCCACACACCATCCCCCGACCCAGGGGAGAAATTAAGGCAATTTCACTAAGGCCCACTGGTGAGGAAAATTGGTTGATCGAGTTATTACTAAATGGCTTTTCAAATCTTCTCATTATTCTGGGCAAGGGAGTTAGATTGTCAGGGCCTGGTCCCTTGCCCGCAGATAAAGCCAAACCCACAGGAATCCTGTGAATGGAGAGGCTTGGAGGCTATACCTTGGAAAAAACCCACAAGGCCCAGCTCAGCAGGGCTGTCCCTTGGTGCTGAATGCAACCAATTCTTGCCTGTTTTAAGTGAAAACATCCTGGGATGGGAAAGTGTATTTTGAGAGTGGAATGCTTTGTAGTTCCTTGTACTTGGGGGACAGCATGGTGTGTTAATAAATGAGAGTGCTCCTTAAAAGTCTGCTCCTTTCGGCTCCCAGGCTGTGTCTGCTCAGGGAGCCCAGTGATAAAGATCATTAATATTTTTTCTGTAAGTAACTGAATCAAAGGAAAGCTTCCTTATCTGCATTGTCTGGATGCCAAATTAGGTTGCATACTTATGAACTCTTTGATAGTCTCAGCTGCCAGAGAGCCTTTTGCATATATGCATATATATATTTATATGCATACACATATACACACATATATATGCACATAAATATATAAGGAAGTTATAAATATACAGTCTTTCCCTTTTATATATATAAAAATGAAATCTCCTTGTATATGTCCATCTGCCTGAATATTTAATCTGGCTCCATCATATCTGTACAATGGTGGAAAGGTCATGTAATGTCTCTACATCCAGTTTGTCCATCTGTGAAATAAAGTAGTTGAGGTTTTTGTTTTTAAGCTGGTGTGTTTGGTAGGGCAGTGCTTCCACTGTAATCCAGTACAGTTCTGGGCACGTGGTGACGCTCAGGGCAAAATGACATGCTGGTGTGTAACAGGAAATATCCACCTCCTAACATGTGTTGAGTTCTGACATTCCATTATTCTGATATTTTTAGGAAGTTCTGTTGGGTCCTGGCAGCAAGAGGAGGGAAATGATCATCAGATCCTCATGCATACATATGCTAAGAGTTGAGATAGAATACTGGGGATTGCAACTCAGCTGGCTTTACAAACAAGACCCGGTCAGGTGAACTTCCTCTTTTCCTGGAGACCTAGGTTGGCCTGCTAGGTTAAAGGCAGTGGACAGACTTCATCTGGCTTGACAGTGAGACTTTCGACTCAGTCTTGGGCAACATGCTTATCAATAAACCTCAGTTGCAGCCCTTTCGCCTCAAACCCAGGTTGCTGTGTTCACTGACCCCTGTATACCATCAGCGTCTTCAGACACATGGCTGCTAGCTCACACATCTTCAGTGTCACTCTCCACTTTAAAATCCAAGAGTGTCCTCTCAGTTGCCTTTCTGACGATTTTCAAGGCCCTCAGCTTAGCATTCAGGCTTCACTGGGTTTTTGGCCATCTTTTCCTTCCAGCTTTATCTCTAGGACAGACCCATCTCTCCAGTGAAAA